CGCCCCGCCTCCCCGACCCTGACCCCGCTTCCGCTCCCTGCCCACACGACTCCCCCACGCCCCGACTCCACTCCCTCTTCACTCCTGCCGCTCCACTACCAATTCCGCACCTCCCTACCCCCGTGAACCCCCTCCCCCTGTGTGCACGTGCGCGCGACCACTCCTTCCCCTCTGCCTGATCCCGAATTCCCCCCGCTTCCCTAGTCGTCCCCAATCTCGATTCCCCCGCTGCTCCCCCAACTGCCCTCTGACTTTCCCCCGCCTTCGCTCCCTGATCCCGACTATCCCCGATTTCTCCCACACTCCTTGCCCCCGATTCCAACCCCCCAAGCGCCCAACCCATTTCCCCCCCCGCACAATCTTCCCCCATCGTTCTCGACTTTTCAACCCGATCCCCCTCCAATCCCGATTTCCCCCCACCCTCTTCTATTCCCCCAATTCCCTCCCCCGACCCGACTCCCTTCCCTCTCCTCCCTACTGCGTCACCTCCCCCTACTCCCCCACTTCCCTGTGCGATTGGCCTTCCCACCTCTCACCTCGCTGCTCCCCCATTACATCCCGCCTGCGCGCACGTGCACACCGGGGCCTTGGCGGGAGCGGCACATGTGTTAGATGATAACGAAGGTGCCTTAAGATGAGCTCAACGAGAATAGAAATCTTGTGTGGAGCAAAAGGGCAAAAGCTCATTTGATTTTGATTTCCAGTACGGGTACAAACTGTGAGAGCGTGGCCTATCGATCCTCTGGCGTTTCAGGACTTCAAGCAGGAGGCGGCAGAAAAGTTACCACACGGATAACTGGTTCGTGGCCGCATCATCAGTAGCAACATCATCATCGTCCTCGTAATTGCCGCCATTGCCGACGTCATCATTGCATTGGCTCGTCCTCATCTGTTCGCGCATTTAATCCGGCGACGTCGTCGTTCCACCGGGGGAACGATCGAGAAGACCCTTTAGGGGTTTGATTGAATACCTCCCTCGACTAGGAGGAAGGACCTTGATTGCTCCCGGCTGACCGGGAGCGCGGTATTGTCAATCTCACTCCTTACTACTAATCCCCTCTCTTCCTCTCGTCGATCTCTCTCAAAGATCTCATCTTTTTCCTTTTCTTTTACCTCCTCCCTATCTCCCCTTCTCTCCTCTAATCCCCCGCCTAATCGGTCGCATCATCTAAATTCCTAATGTGCATGACGCGTATTTTCTCTTTTAGGGTTTGTCTGACAACGTCGTCCAACCTGTCGTTCGGAAGTTCGATCTAATTCGGTAGGATTAATTGTCATTTCCCTTTCTCCTAACGCCGTGATCGGAATTAATTCCGGTGCTACGCGAATTTCTTTACTTTCTTGATTCTTTTTGTTATTTCATTTCAAAATTCAATTTCATCTCAGAAATTCGTGAAATAAATTTTGAAATTTACTAAATTTAATTCTTCTGATGTCAACTGCAATCAGACTCGACTTCTTCACACTTGTCATGCATGCAAACAGCGAAACAGCAAACTTGCGACATGCGCCCACACAGTACTCAAAGATATCGTAACCAGGTAGGAGTTCCCTTCAAACTGGCTATGGCGAGTGAGCGCTCACACAACTCACTGTTCGCACTCTGGATCACCCTGGATGTCCCACACGCAACACTCTACACGCAACACACACACACACACACACACACACGCTTCTATAGCTATGGCAGCTATGGCTGCCACTATCCTATCGCTACACTACACTTCACTGCCCTCTTCGTCTTCGGGCGCACTGCAGACCTCCTCGCACAAGCTGCTGAGGCAGCGCTTCCGCATGGCATCCGCAGGAATGAATGAATGGCTGGACGCAACCTCTTGATTTATACTCTGTGCGGCGTTGGTCTGCCCTGTATCCCTTGACCCACGATGTGCACAGTCCAAGACGGTACTTGCTTGACTGGACCGGACTGGGCTACCTGGGACTGCTGACTCTACGTAGTGGACCTACACCACTTGCCCACTTGCCTCGGCCTAAACAGGGGCTGACTCCGAAAGGCCAGTTCTAGAAACTTCTACTTTGGCCTTTCGGTACTGTAGCAGCTACGACTTTGCCCTTTCAGGTAAGTAGCAGCTACGACCTTGACCCTTCAGACATCCTACAGCTACGACTTCGGAACTGTCTAGACTCCTACCGTACAGGTCTACAGTTCGATTCCCTTCTAAGCTGTGACCTACGACAATCTACCTACGACTGGCGTTTCGATAGGTCGCAGGTTCAAATCTACGGGTTGTCATCAATACTGTACACAGGTAAGATGGGGAACTAGGGATCAAGCCCTGGGATCTGCATTTGCTACTGCGAACTGGTGAATACCGTTTCACTCTCGCCGGCCTAAATTTGAGGTCCTCTGAGAAAATTTCAGTCCAAGGCAGGACCTTTACCCTTCTGCTGTCTTTCATAGGCCCGGACTATATCGGGAGCTGTCTCTAGAAGTTCAGATCTTGTAAACCAGCGGTCGTCTTCTGGTTCTTGATAACCAAAATGAACCTTGTACTGTTTTTGCGGACGACCCCTACCTCCGGTTCTGAAGACATCCTCAGCCACTATACCGTCTATGTCATACCTTCCATCCATATCAGGTGGGATCATTGATCTACGGGATGGAAACTGATCACTTGTTTGACAAGGTAGCAACTTCGATGCGTGGAAAACTGGGTAAGTGTGGAGGTGTGATGGTAGTTCTATTGTATAGGACGGTCCATCTTCACCGCCCTTGACTTCAAGAACAGGCCACGGTCCTCTATATGTGGGCAGTAGCTTCTGCGAGATGTTCTCCTCAGGTGCAAACTCTTTCGAACTAACCCAGACTAAGTCGCCTACTTGAAACTGTGAAAGGCGACGATGTTTGTTTGCTTGTTCTATCATCCTATGCTGGACTTTCATGAGGTTTTCTACAACAATAGCTAGTTCTTTCTCGTGCTGTACAGCTAACTTCCGGGTCCCGGGCGGCAATCTCTGAATCTGATCCCGGTTGAGTCCCTCAAACGGTCTGCGCGGTCTAAAGGACTTGTGCAGTTCGTTGGGAGTGCGGTAGGTGGCTAGATGCACGCTGTTATTGTATGCACTAGCTACTTTAGGCAACATCTCATCCCAGTTAATCTGATCTGGCCTAATATACATGCGCAAAACTTGCTGTAGGATCTTGTTCATTTGCTCTGTCTGACCGTTGGTCTCTGGATGGCGGCCGGACGACATCAACAACTTAGATCCGTATACTCCCATGAGTTCTTGCCAGTTCTGGCTAGTAAAGCGACTATCTCTCTCGCTAACTATAGACAGCGGGATTCCGTTCTCTCTAACCCAGCAGTTAAAGAACCTTTGTATGACTAAATCAGTACGCGCCTCAGAAGGTCAACTATGACCATGACTTGGCTCTTGCCATGCCTGCTCTTGACTTGAGTGTGCATGAAATCTATTGACACTGAGTCTCCCGGCTGATCCGGAATGGGCAAGGGTCTGAGAAGACCTAGCAGGGCGCGCGTAGAACTCTTATTACGCTGGCAGACTTTGCAACTGCGAACATACTCTACGCAGTCATTCTTCATCCCTGGCCAGGTATACGCGCGCATCAGATTGACCAAAGTATTTTGCCAACCGAAATGACCCTCTGTGTCGTGACATTCCCCCATAATCAGACTACGGATCTCTTCGCTTTTGGGGATGCACAACTGGTCAAAGACATTAGTCTTCTCGAAGAGTAACCCTCCAGTAGTGCGGTAGTTCGGCTCGGTCTCTGGGGCCTCCTTGACTCGCGTGAGGAACTCACTATAGATAGGGTCCTGCGCGTAGGCTTCTCTAACCTTCTGCTGCAGATCCTTTCCTATATCGAGGTAATGTACTATTGCCCCAAAGTAATCTGCTCTCCTACTCAGAGCATCCGCGACTACGTTGTACTTCCCTTTGACAGGCTTGAGCTCGAAGTCGTACTGATCTATCTCTGCGGCCCACCTAGTAAGCTTAGTTGTCATCTTGGCCTGGGTCTTTAACCACCGTAACGTTTCATGGTCCGAATAGACTTTGAAGTGCCTCCCAAGCAAGTAGTGCTTCCAGTGGTCTAATGCTTGCCTGAGAGCGTAGAGTTCCCTCTCATAGGTAGATGTCGCDACCTTCTCTGAAGGCATYCTVGCGGACATGAACTCTACGGGTCTATAGCCATTGTCATCGTCTTGCTGTAACACTGCGCCTATGCCGTACTGGCTAGCATCCGTAGTAACAACAAAAGGCAAGGACGGATCGGCGACCTTAAGGACCAGATACTCTATCAACGCCTGCTTTAGCTTCTTCATGGCGGACGTGCAGTCCTTGTCCCACTTCCAGATTGTCTCTTTTCTCAGCAATCTGCGAAGGGGCGCAGCGATGGTGGAGAAGTTCCTTACGAACTTCCTGTAGTAATTCGCTAAGCCCAGGAACGAGCACAACTTTGTCAGCGTACGTGGCGTGGGCCAATCTCTAATCGCTGCGATCTTGCTATCTTCTGGCTTAACGCCGTCTCCGTCTAAGACACGTCTAAGACGTGGCCTAGATACAAAACTTGGGTCTTCGCCCAATCGCACTTCTTTGCATTGATCTTGAAGTTAGCTTCTCTCAGCTTCTCCAAGACTTGCCTGAGATGACCCTGATGCTCTTCGAGGGTCCGACTAAACACTAGGATGTCATCTAGATAAACTACAACGAATCTGTCTAACCACGGCCTAAACAAATCATTCGTACACCGCTAAAAAGTTGCTGGCCCATTGGTTAGTCCAAAGGGCATCACTATAAACTCATAATGCCCGTACCTAGTCCGGAGGGCTGTCTTATACTGATCATCAGGGTGTACCTCTATCTGATGATATCCGGACTTTACGTCTATCTTAGAGAAATACTTAGCCCCCTGCACTCGATCTAAGAGATCGTCGATCCTAGGCAGTGGCGCAGCATTCTTTACTGTAATAGCATTCAGACCCTTATAGTCTATGCACATTCTCAGCTGTCCCTCTTTCTTAGGAACAAAGAGAACAGGCGCTCCGAAAGGAGACGAACTGGGCCTAATCCAACCCTTCTGGAGGAGCTCGTCTAATTGCTTGCGAAGCTCCTCTAACCCCCGCGGGGACATCCTATACACAGCACCCTTAGGAGTTTTACTGCCAGGCTCTATCTCGATACGGTGCTGGATGGGCCGCGGCACCGTGCCTGTCGGCGGCTCAGTCAAATCCTTAAACTCCTTCAGCAGCTTGGCAATCGCAGGGTCCATCGGCTTCTCTTCCGTAGGCTCAGTGACGGGCCTAACATAGGCAACAAAGACCTGTTCCTCTAATTTCTCCTTCTTCACCAATCTGGCGAACGCAGGGGCACTAAGGCAGCAATGTGCCAAGGAATTCTCTACTCCTGACACATGAAACAGGCGGGCAGTCTTAGCCTCGCCTGCAGAACTAGGGAGTCTACACTCGTGCTCCTTCAGATGGAGCGTTGCCCCGGCTGCCTCTCCCCAATCCATTCCCAGTACTATATCAAACGGGAGGCTGTCCTCTACGAGGAGAGTCAGGGAGTGGAGGACCTTCTCCACCTTCCCATCTTTCTCTAGGGGGAAATACGCCTGAACTCCCTCTACGTAATCCTCTACAACCATGGTACGATTGTCCGCGAGGATACTAACTATGGGGTCTGTCAGTTTCTGGACCTTAAGTCCCAGCCTCAACTTCTGCAGTGCTTGCTTACTAATATAGCTGCGGGTGGCCCCTGAGTCTACTAGGGCCCCTACTCTACTTCTAAAAATCTCTGCATCTAATAAAATTAGTTGCCCTTTATTCTCCTTCTTCATCTTGGCCCAGGCGGGCCTCCTCTCCTTCAACTCTTCCGCCACGCCTGTGAGGGAGGTGTCTAGCGAAACTGTAACACAAGCAGTCTCGGGACAGCTGTCTAGACACCGGCCTGTAACCTCTGCCGTAGGCACATGTGGTGTGGGAGTCTCCTGCCGGCTAGCACTATTTTCCCCACATGGCCTAGTGGTAGGGCAGTTGCTACCCCTACCGGCGGCTGCCGTTTGGCTCTTGAGCAGCCGTTCGGGTCTCTCGATACTTAGGACAATATTTGATGATATGCCCCGTGTCACCGCAGAAAATGCACTGGCCCCGGTTCAATCGTTGTTGCCATAAAGCCTGGTCCAGACCCAAAGATTCCCACGGCCTACCCTGAGGTAGCCCTGGGTGCCATCCTCCTACTCTATAGGGAGACCTGTTCCTAGGRCGGTTTTGCGGGGGACCTTGACCCCTACCTCCCGCTTGGCGGTTCCCTCCTCTGCCTCCAACCCCCTGATCGCCCTGGAACCGGCTCCCTGAGGCTCGGCCCCCCTTGCCCTTGGCCTCGTCCTCCTTGCGGCTTCCCTCCAGCCGCGACAGCAGCGTAAGCCCTCCCCTGGCCCACACTACTGTCCTCCTCCTCGAACCCCCATTCAATCTGGTCGTAGGGGATCTCGTCCACACTACCCTCATCTAAAGTGAGCACAAGGCTATCCTTGGTCTTGACTTGCCCTGAGATAGTGCGGCCCTTCCACTTTTTGCCCTTGTCTAAATCTTTGTGCCAGAAGGTGGAAATCGACGCAGACTTCGCCTCGAACGCGACCACTTCCCTGCTAAGTATATCGTAAGTCATAGCAGGGTCCTGACTCTTGTCAAAGAAGTGACCACGCAGCGTTTCGGGCATAGCCCGGTAGAAAAGGTTGACCAACTGGGTTTCCGTGACCTTGTGGTCAGGAACARCCACCAACTCATCCATTGTGCCCTTGAGTGCCCTTGCACTCTTCCATTGGCGCGAGTGTATTGTCTGAAGCCTATCTGAGGCTTTGACACTACGGGCAACATCAGCGAATCGCTCGCGCAGCAGCTTCAAGAATTCAATGAGGGACGTAAACGATGAGTATGCAACTGGATCGTCACTCCAGTTGGCAGCACGAACAAGGGATCTCGCGAAACTGGCGGCCTCGTCTCTAAGTGCATGGATCGCGATCAGGACCTGCTGATCCGGGGAGACCTGTTGCAAATGCACATAGGTCTTAACATTGGCCTCCCAATTGTCAAAGTTCTCTTCCCTTTTCCCACTGTAGGAATCAGGGAATTTGACTTTGACTGGCTCCYTGCGAGGACGGGCCTCCTCCTCCTTGGGAGCGGCCACCTTGAYGCCTTCGATGGCGCCGACRCAAAAACGCTCAGTCTTCTCGAGGCGATGACTCACCTCGGATCCCACAGCGCCTACTAGTTCGCGAGCAAAATCCCGTAATCCCGTTCGCATCGAACGCACGGATATCTCCTGGTTGCGACTAAACTCATAGTGCTTTTCTTGCACTTTAGCTAACCGGTCAACGCTCTGGGCGATGATCTCCACTTTGCGTTGGAGATCTACTTGCGGAGTCAATTGTGTTGTTAAGGCAGTCCTCACCTCCGCTAGTTCTTGCATTGCTGCATTCGCCGCCTGCACTCTTCTCTTCTTCTCCCTCATCACTGYGAGCTTCCACGCCATCCTCTGTTCATCCTCCATCGCCCGCCGTGTCAGAACATCTTCTTCTACTTCCCATTTCTTCATGGCGGCTTCTTGCTCATCCTTGGGGATGTACATAGCAACCTCTTCCTCCTCACCGAGGGATAAGTTGGCGACCCACTCCGAAATTTTCTTCTCCATCTCATCACTGCTGCTGCCGCTGTGCTGCCCACTCTTTTGCAGTGGCGGTCCTTCCTCTTCTTCATCCACCTCCTTCAGCTTCTCTTCTTCTTCCTTTTTCAACCTCTCTTTCTCCCTGGCCATCTCTTCTTCCATCTTCTTTAGTTTGGCCGCCTGTTCCTCTTTCAAGGCCTTCTTCTTGGCCTCCTTCTCCTTCCTCTCCTGCAGGATGGCGACCATCTTCTCCTCCTCCTCCTTCGTGTATGGTTGGGTGGCCTACTCTACACGCAAAGGTATGCCAAAATCCCAGAGAAAAGAGGAGACGGCAGAGGGTCCCCCAGAGGGAGAACCCAACCAGCAACCCATACATCGGGTAGTCGTCCATCGTGGTGTTGGTGCACGACAAGGGTCCCACTCCTCACCACGTAACCCTACCCGGACACACTAACCTACTGACTGACTTCCTAAGGACCATAGGATAAGACCCTGTCAACTATGGCCACTACTAACCCAAGACTACTCACTACAGAACCAAGAGCTGATCAGGAGGCATTTAAGGAGATCCCCCAAACTCCGCAAGAATTCTTTAACGTCGCAGACA